ACCAACATTATATGAGAATATCTATTTGCCTACAAGTAAGACCAAACTTGATATTAAGTAAGGTCTTTTTTTTTTTGCCAATCAAATAGGTGAAATGTCAGTGTCCCATTGCGTTTCCCTTAGTAGAGGTAGTTTTTTATTCCGTCATTGGCTGTTTGTCATCTCATGTGAATTGCATGTTTATTTATTTCCCTGGTTTTTAATAGGTTGTTGATCTTTTTTCTTTTTCTTTCCCATACTTTAAAGTTGTTTTGTAGTTTCATTTTAATATTATCCAACTTAACATCACGATGTTGGTTATGAGATCAGGCTGTAAATTTAAACAGTAAGCACTTACTCCAGCACTCGTTTATCTAAAAATACTCTTTAAAAAAAGTTTATCTACTTTGAGAGAGAGAGCAAGCAGGGGAGGGACCAAGAGAGGAAGAAAGAGAATCCCAAGCAGGCTCCCTGCTGTCAGCACAGAGCCCACCCCATGCAGGGATCAATCTCATGAACTGTGAAATTGTGACCTGAGCTGAAATCAGACAGTTAACTGACTGAGTCACCCAGGCACCCCGTATAAAAATACTCTTACTGAGTTTTTCCCATTGCAAAAGTGATATACGTTTATGCAAAGAAATTTAGGAAATCAAGATACCCAGGAAGGAGAAAATGATAACCCCTTTAATATCATCACCCAGATACAATAATGTTAATATTTCAGTGTGTATACTTCTAATCTGTTTTTTTTTTTTGCCCTGCACACCATTTATTAAATTTCTTCCCCTTTTCCCATGGATTTGTGATTTTATTCTTAATATGTACTGATTGTTTAAAATGTGGGATCTGTTTTGAGCTGCCTTGGTGCTTTATTTATTTGTGTGGATTGTACCTTTGCTACTTAAATAGGTGAGGCTTGATGATGCACTGTGCTCTCTGCACAGCTCTCTGTCGTTGCTTTTCTGGAGGCTATCTACGTCAGGTAGCCTGATGACACTTGTGTGTCATTCAGAGTTCTGTCTCTGGACTCTGCTGAAATTAAAATGCATTAAAAACTTGGGGGTGCCTGGGTGGCTCAGTCAGTTGAGCATCTGACTCTTGATTTCGGCTTAGGTCATGATCCCAGTGTTGTGGGATTGAGCCCCACGTCGGGTTCTGTGCTGAGTGCGGAGCCTGCTTGAGATTCTCTCTCTCTCTCTCTCTCTCTCTCTCTCCTCCCTCCCTCTCTCCCTCTGCCCCTCTCCCCTGCTCTCTCTCTCTCTCTCTAAAATAAAAAAAAAATTTTTTAATAGCAAAAGGGCTCAGCATAAAACAAGAAGGCCTCTTTGCATCATTTTTTGATTTAACACATCAAATCAGATTTATAAACATCCTCCTGTAGATTCTGGAGAAAGAGATCCAGTAGTTATTAGAGATCATCTCTGGGAAACTGATTGCCCAGCTCCCTTTTTTTTTTTTTTTAATTAAAAAAAATTTTTTTTTAAATATTTATTTATTTTAGACAGAGAGACAGAGCATGAGCAGGGGAGGGGCAGAGAGAGAGGAAGACACAGAATCAGAAGCAGGCTCCAGGCTCTGAGCCGTCAGCACAGAGCCTGATGCGGGGCTCGAACTCACAGTCCATGAGATCATGACCTGAGCCGAAGTCGGACGCTCAACCGACTGAGCCACCCAGGTGCCCCACTTAGCTCCCATTTTTAATTTAATGTGTGTAAAATGCTGTTAATAACTTTTCTTGATGCTTTTGTTCCTTTCTTCCTTTCAGGTGCCCTTCATGAGTTCACTCAAGAGTTTTAACCCCTAACTCTTTTCTCTCATAAGGCCTTAGATTCCTCACCCCTTTCCCCCCCACCTCCCACCTAAGGGCTTTTAGGATCATGATTCTAGATGTTGAAGCGTGGGCTACTACATAGAAGAGGAGTGCAAGTGTCCTAAATTTCTCCCCTGTAGCTCTGAAAAATGAGGAATTTAGACCCACCAATACTGCAAGTGACCTTCTGCAACCCTGAAGTCACTGTCTTCACCCCATTTCTTCTATATATCTTTCTACCAGTCACTGGGGCACTGGGGCACTCTCGCACTGACTCACCAGAGCTGACTTGTTAACTTTTCAGGAATTTTGCAAGCTGGTTGTTTAATACAGTTATTACTAAAAATTAAATTATATGAACTTATAGTTAATTAACTTATAAAAAAAAAAACCCAAAGATTATCCTCAAAACTCATCACCTCTTCGTTATTCTACCACATTTTACTATTATATTTCCTCTTGAGATTCTTAGTGCCTACTGCACTGTGGGTAGGAATGCTATATAATCACATCCTACTGTGCCTCTTTGCTCACCTCTGAGTTCCATGACGTGCCTCGGGGCTTGAAATTGGTTATGAGGTCAGTAGTTGCACCACTGAAATTGGAAAACCCTACATAGCGGGGTTTGATTTGTTCTGTTGAGCGTGCTGGAGCAAATGTTAACAATGCAGACTAAACTTAAACGTGTATCATGTCAGTAGCCTTAACATTCTGAATAGTCCTCCAAATTAAGGAAATACTCCTCCAGTAGTTGAAAAATATTATTCGATTCAGCAAAGAAGTTGCTTACATCATTGGCTGACAAATGACATTCCCACAAAAATCTGTGTCAACTTTCCTCTTACTCCTCGTGTGAAGAAAACTTATCAACCAACATTCGTGCCAGAACTATACGCACTCATCAGTCACAGCCCTCGGTTGGCTTTGGATACAAGAGTTTGGCAAAAATCACCTATACCATTCTTTGGGGATTAATTATGTACATAGAATTTACAATAAAGAAAACTATATATTTTATTGTCATTTATAAATTGTGTGCTACACATCCTTTGTATCAGCAAAATTTATAGTAAACGTGTACATACATATCTATGTACTTTTTTTTGTTTTGTGTTCTGGAGAGCTAGCTGTTCCACTTTTACTGGCACACCACTGATCAGAGGTGACAAATGGCTAGCCCCAAGCTTAAGGGGACCACCGACATGGTTGGTTTGACCACACAGTGTTACCTAAAGTAACCAGCAAACAAAAAGGTGACATGGTGTGCCAACATTTACAAATTGTGAGATTTCACATAAAAACCTGGAGTTCTTAATTTTCCCGAAGGACGGAAACCGGCCCCTTTGTATTCTCCCATGGCGACACTCGGCTGGAGCTGAGCTGCTGTGGACCATTCAGGTGGGGTGTGGACTCTTAGTCTGCCATCATCCCCACCGCTCCCTGCTGTCCTTCCAACCCGCACCCTCCACTGAGCACTGAGTGCCATCTCTCCCTATGTACGCACCGTACGTTCTCTCAGTTTCTGACTTATCCTCTCTCGCTGAGACCTGAACCCCATTTTCAGGCCAGAAATCTGGCAACTTCAAGCTTGATTGGTTACTGTATTAATTTTCCTCGTCTATTGGTCGAAGTCCCATTGATCTACAATGATTTCTTACAAGAATCACTTACAACATCTGTGAAAGGGCTTTGAAGTTGATTCAAAGCCACCAAATAGAAGCAATGCGTATCAAGATGCTCATAATTTCTAACACTTAATTTTACCCTTTGTTGATAAAAACTGATTAAAATTCAGGCATTTTTACATTTTTGGTTACCCATGACAGTAAATATATTTATTACTCCTCCTTTCACTTGTATCCTTCTTGCCTTCCTTTTTCCTCCTGTTTTCTCCTTGTCTTTTTCTGTCACTTTAATCTTACCGCTCAAATACAATGTCAGTAATGAGGTCATTGCATTATCCTATTAAGATTCATACTTTGGTCATCGTTTTGGCCTAATTTAAATACATCATGGACTCATGCTAATTAGCCCAAATGGCCAAATCCCCCACCAATTAAGCAAATGTAGACATCTCAGGTTATTTCGGTCACCCTATGTTTAAAATTAAGAGAAGAATGTGGTGAATGTGATCTGAAATCATCAACCTCAAGAAAGCCTGTTATTTGATAATAAAACTCTTTCTTACCATTATCACATTATGAATGCGATTATGTCTCTGCTTCCTCCTGCATTTGACTTGAACATTTGTAGCAGCATCGTCATGGATTCTTTACATTCTGTCTCAATGGTAAATTGAGTATATGAGGAAAAGTTTTCTTTGTACCTTGAGGTCAGTTCACTTTTTAAAAATTTTTAGGGGCGCCTGGGTGGCTCAGTCGGTTGAGCGTCCGACTTCAGCTCGGGTCATGATCTCACAGTCTGTGAGTTCGAGGCCCGCGTCGGGCTCTGTGCTGACAGGTCAGAGCCTGGGGCCTGTTTCAGATTCTGTGTCTCCCTCTCTCTCTGCCCCTCCCCCGCTCATGCTCTGTCTCTCTCTGTCCCAAAAATAAATAAACGTTGAAAAAAAATTTTTTTTTTGAATTTTAAATATGTTGCTTCAGTTCTTTTGTCACCACACCTAAGACCCTTTTATGTCAACCATGTCAGAGAAAGTGTCTTAACTTCCCAGAATTAAACATCCAGATGGACTAAGCATTCTTTTGTTAATTATATTTTAGTAGTATGAGCATTTGTGCCCATAAGAACCACATTCTAAATGATTATTAGGTTCCCAGACTAGCCCCTAGTGATGTTAAATGTAGTTCTTATTTCTGGAGTGGAGGGAGGAGGGGGAGGGGGAGAAAAAGCCGAAGTGATACACCGGGGACCAAGACGGAGGAAGGCAAAGACAGAAAGAATGGAAGCAAAAGGTCCACAAGAGAAACTCCCTGGGTTTAGGTCTTGCTGTAAGCAAAATGTTGAGATCTATGCCATCGGTTTTTGTGTCCCCTGACTTTTCGTTTCTGTATCGCACTCCTCAAATCCCAGTGCTCTCCTTTGGTCCTAAGGTCCCACCCTCACCAGGCCTGTTCCACTCTCAAAACTCCCCTTTCTCAGTGCAGACGTGCCTAGCAAGGTCTTTGGAAAACCTCAGTCTAAAGAGAACCGAATCATTTTGTGGAACGCATAGTCCTGAAGCATCTGAAATCTATCATTCTCTTCTTAGGGAAATTCCAGTCCAGTGTAACAAAACGAAGCAAGAGAAAAGAAACTAAGGCAGTGTTTTGAAGGAAGAGATCTTCCTTGGGGCGTCATCCCCTGTGCGGAGTCCTGCTAAGCAGTCCTTGACGTGGCCTGCTTTCTCCATTCCCCATCTGATGTTTTTGCCCAGACCCCCGGGAGCCCGGGCCTGGCCTCTAGCTGGCTCACAAGACGTTCTGGACTGAAGTAGGTTTTTTTTGTTGTTGTTTTTTTTTTTTTTTTTTTTTTCGCTTTGTGTTTTGGGGTTTGTTTTTTGTTTGTTTCTTTCTATTTATTTTGTTTTTCCGAACAGCTCCCATGGTGGGGCTCGGAGCGGAGCAGAGAGGGCTGGCTGTGTATATGGCCTGTGTATATGTGAATGGGGGCTGGGCGGACGGGTGAAGTTGAAGGTAAGGATACCCATGGCCTGGTTCCCAGATTCCTTTTCAAGTTCTCCACAGTTTGCCAAAGTTCCTGGAGGTTGGAACCTTTTCCGAAGTTAGTAAATGAACGTGACAACATAGCTTTGGTTGCTCAAAATTGGGAAGGTTTCAAAGTAAGAAAAGTGGGGGAAATGGTTGGTGGTGTTGGCAACGTTTTCTATACTGTATGCTTTTAAGGATGAATTCCCGTTGAAAAGCGCCACATCTAAAAATGAGATACACATACATGTATGCCGGCCTCCAGGTAACCGCGCGGGCTTCTCTCCGGGTTCACTTTCCCTGCCGTCGTGGATGAGTAAGCTCTGCTCTGGCAACGGCCGCCTGGCCTCGGTGTTGACCCGAAGCCTCTCCAGACCGCAGATAGCCAGGTATTCGGCAGGGAGAGTGTTGGGGCTGCACAGAGAAAGCTTCAGGTCCCGGACCAACGTGAAGTTCAGCAGAAGGCCCAGTGCAGATGCATCTGTGAACCAGACGGTCAGACGGTCGTCGTAGCTGGTTTGCTCTATTGCGGAAGGCAGGACGGTGTGGCAGCTGCACATCAAGTTGGCCAAAGTGTAGTCACAGTCCCGGACGTCCGCGGAGCAAGTGCAGTTCCGAATGGTGTTTTCCTTCGTGAAGATCAGGGTGCTGTTCCTCTGACCTCCTGTGAAGCAACCCAGGACAAGGATGCCCAGGGCGCTGGTCAGCAGGAGGCTGAGCCCAGAAGGTGGGGCCATTCCTGTCTCAGCGTGGGCCCGCAAGGTTGTGTGTCCCCTTCGTAAGCCAGTTCATTGCAACTCAACTGAAAGACAAATACGCAGCTGTGTTATCGCAGGCTCTCATTAGAAATATGCGGGTCACGGGGCGCCCGGCTGGCTCGGTTGGTAGAGGATGTGACTCTTAATCTCAGGGTCGTGAGTCTGAGCCCCATGTTGGGTGTAGAGCTCGCTTAAAAAAATAGGAAGGTTAGGGGAATGGAGCCCCCGAAATAATCCATCGCAAACGTTTCTCTCTTGTGGTTCTATCAAAGGCAGGCAACGCAAATGCCTGAGTGGAACCCAAGTGCAGAAATGATCTTTTCTCAGAGCCTTGTGAGAGGCAGTGGCCGGCCTACCCGTGTGAGGCATAAAACTCCCTGTGATGTCTGCTGGGAGACTGACACACCAGCAGCAACAAGATGGGGTGCCAGAGATGAGACCCAGTGCGCCTGTCTGGGTGCACCAGGGATCTGTGGTGCTTTGAGCGTGCACACTCTTCAAACATCGTGTTACTTGTATTGAGTACTCGACAACCCCTTAAACGTGCACATTCCCTCCTCCCCTCAATATCTGACTTCCTGGAATTCAGGAGACCAGCAGCTCCATGATGGACTCAGCCATCCAAGTGCTACCTGTGAAACAACATAGCATGCATAACAGCGAAACATTTAGTTAATGATAACCTTTAATTTCTAACTAGACAAACATGCCCCCCCCATCATATTAATCTGTTTATAGATCCATTGATACTTTCCTGGTCTCCTAGAAATATGAGTATTAGAGTAGATTTTACCGTGTTAACAGACCATGAAAACACTAATCACATGCCAGTTCATTGCAATGAACTTTTCATTGCCTCCTTTCCCAGAACACCTGTTATAAATTGATTTTATCAAGTAACTTAGTGTGAGGCTCCAAAACTAAGCAATATATCGGCACTGTTAAATGACCTAAATGAGATAAGTGCATGCATAGTTTAAGGAGCAACATCAATGTCCAATTTGGAGGAAAATGGCCTAAGTACTTGATATATAATAGATGCGTGGTATTCTTTTCTGGTGAGGTTGGAATGAGACACACGTTATGAAACAGGGTTCCAGGTTCCAGTCTTGCAAGAATAATTACATTTCCTGGGGCTCCTGGGTGGCTCAGTTGGTTGGTTAAGCATCTGACTCTTGATCTCAACTCAGGTCATGATCTTGCAGTTTGTGGGATAGAGCCCCATGTAGGACTCTGTTCTGACAAGCAGAGCCTGCTTGAGATTCTCTCTCTCCCTCTCTCTCTGCCCCCCACTCCCACTCGCTCGTTCTCTCCCAAAATAAATAAACACTAAAAAAAAAATAATTAAAATAAGAATAATTACACTTCCCCTGAGTTAGCTGATGGCTGACCAAAAGATACAAGACCAAAGATACAATTCAATTAATCCGAATTGACCAAAGATACAATTCAGTCCGTCTGCATGTACAAATCACCATGCATCTGGAAAAATACTTGGAATGAGACCTCTGGCTCAGAGAGTCCAGGGCTGGTGACAGGGCCCTCATAGGAAGGCTGCGGAGGGACAGACGAGTCAGTCCGAGGAGCTGAACGTGTGTCCAAAGAGGATGGTGGTGACAGCAGGAAAGAGGTGAGGCAGACGTGCAACACTTAGGGTGCAAGATGAGGCCCCGAGGTGGCAAAGCAAGGCAAAGAGAAATCCAAGGGAGGCAACGCTAAAAATGCCAGGGTCAGGTGGACAGGGAGGAAGCACACGTTCGTCAGCAGGTGGCCGGAGACTAAAAATAAGCTCAGCTAAGTAAACTTGAACAGAAAGTAAGACACTGGTTCACAGGAATCATAATATCATTCATTCATTCATTCGCTCATTCATTCATTCATTCATTCACTCAGCAAATGTTTACTGAGAGTTCACTAGCTGGCAGGCACTTTGCTGGCTCTGGGGATACAGCCCAGAAGACAGTGAGGTTATGGAAGTTGGGTTCTAAGCGACTTGATTCTGCTTCCAGAGCCCAAGGCGGGCCAGGCCTGCGTGTGAGGACCAAGGGCCTGCAGCAGCGGGGAGGAGAGGGAGGCAAAGGCAGGAGTTGGGTGGGGCTCAGCACGCGCCATGTGCCAAGGCCGAGCAGAAGACACAAAGATGAACAAAACCTGTACCCTGCCCTCCAAGGGCTCATAAGCGGAAGAGGAAGACAAATAGGGCAGGACTGAGAAAGGCCCTATTGAATGTACGTGTGGTTATAGGAACGCAGCAGAGAGATAGGTTAAAGTCCATTTGGGGGACTGAATAAGGTGCTTTATATAGTGCTTTGTGTTGACTTTGAAGTTGTTACAGGGTTTTCTTAAAGGATGTATTCGTTAGTGCATTTTGTCATAAAAGAAAGGGCTTTGAGAAATGCTCCCATAGAGCCAGCGTTCTTCCTGAACACGAGGTTTAAGGGTTTTAAATAGTTTTAGGATGTGGTGGTGACTACCCCACTTAGTAAGGAGCAGTGACTAACTTATTAATTACAAGATAATTTTAGATGATCGGTTGTCCTCGATTCCGCTGGAGGTTTGTTTCTAGGACTTCATGCCCCAGTAACGCTTTCATATCAGAACTGAGAAAGCTGTCATCGACACCACTGGCTTGCTCTGATCGCAGCCTGGAGGGGAAAGGGAGGTGAAAAAGGGTCTATCCACCAGCCTGGAACCTGGTGAGAAAAGTGTCTGCTTCATTTTCCAGGTGCTGATACCATTCAGAGGCATGCATGGAAGAAGGAAAGAGGTAGGACGGGAAACAGACATTGGTTTCCTGAAACAAGGGGAGACTAGAGATCATAAAAGGTTTGCGAGCAGCACCTCTTCCCGGCCCTGCAGTCAAGTCCCTGGCTGGATCTCAGGGTGGCCCCTGCCTTCTGGGTATCAGGGAGTTCAAAGGCTGGAACATGGAGGCCGGATGCATGAGGCCTGGTGATGGCTTACAAAGTAGGACAAATATTCCTGGTAACAAGCCTGTGGGGTTTCCAAAAAGATGCTAGTTGGACATTTTTCTCCTTCGGTTTTACCCTGGACTTCTCTCTTTAGATTTGTTGAATGTGGATTGTGATCACCCTGGTTTTACTGTGTATTTATTCATTTGTGGGCAGGTTCCGGCATGGCCTCAGCAGAGTGGACACAGATACATCACACTGTCCCTGCTCCTTCCTGTGCCCCTGACCATAATGGGCGTGGTGCCACGGGGACAGGAACTGTTGTTTTCCTCTGCGGGTTGCTCAGCTTGTTAGAAGGGAAATCTTGATCTACTGTGACTGTCTTGTCTCCAGAAGGGGGGAGATGGCCCTACAAAGGAGCCAACACAGAGGAGAACAGACAAGAAACGCAGAGACATTTCTAACAACTTTTTCGAGCACCGGGATCAAGCCATGCCTGACGTCCTTCTTTGATTTCTGAAATAAGTGAGCCAAAAATTTTTTCCCCCTCCTCAAACCAGTCTGAATTGGATTTCTGTAACAAGCAGTGAGAAGAGTATGCTGACATTGGGCAAACTATCTTTTGCCCCCCCCCCCTTCTTTCAATATACCTTTGTTGCGTCCTTGCTGTGTGCTGGGCATGGTGTGTGATAATCACTATAATAGCATTTTGTATGGGGTGTTGAGTCTACACCTAACTTCGCCTGGAAATGGAAGATGTTATAACAAGCTTCACAGAAGAGGTAGTATCTGAGGAGGGGAATAGTTCCTGAGTAAGAAAAAGAAAAGAAAAGGTTATCTATGTAGTTAGCACAGGGCGATCAGAATTTGAAACATCCAAAAGTAGGACAGAGGGGGGCGCCTGGGTGGCTCAGTCAGTTGAGCATCCGACTTCAGCTCAGGTCATGATCTCTCGGCCTGTGGGTTCGAGCCCTGCAGGGCTCAGTGCCTGGAGCCTGCTTCCGGTTCTGTGTCTCCCTCTCTTTCTGCCCCTCCCTCCCCCTCCCCAACACTCTGTTTCTCTCTGTCTCTCAAAAATGAATAAACGTTAAAAAAAATTAATAAAAAAGAAACCAAACAAAAGTAGGACAGAGAGACTGATGGGCTATGGGGATGCTGGTGGGAGAGGGGAGTGGACGAGTCCTGTTGGGGGAGTCTTCTGACTTGCTCTGCCTCATCATTTTCTTAGTACCCCAGCTTGTGTGCCCATCATCAGGACTTGCCTCCTGTGTCCTAAGAGGAGTCCCCCCCCATCCCATCCCCCACCACTGTGGGCGGGGGCTTAGTAGGGGGCAGGGGCAATGTGACGTATCTGTGCCATTTTGTTTATGTTATGGTGGATTCTGCCCACAAATGAATAAATACGTAGTGAAACTAGAGGAAAAGTTGATTCCTGCCTATGTTATAGTCTGAGGCCACTGAGGCGCCGGCGGGGGGGGGGGGGGGGGGGGGGGGCCCGGGTGTGCTCTGCTCCACGTGGTCATGTAGGGGCTCAAGCTTTCATCCACGGCTCTATCATCTCCCAGGCCTTTGGATCCTCTGTGGGCTTTTCGTTCACATTTCACTGACCAGAACGCAGCCACGCGGCACCCCCTCTCTGCAAGCAGCTTGGAAACGAGGTCCGGCACTGTGCCAAGGGAGGAGAGGACGACGTGGGTATCGGTGGGCACTAGGAATTTCTGGCAAGCTTAATACGTGGCTTTATGCAACCATCACAAACACCGAGGTGGTCTCAATCCACCTACATATTTTTCAGGCAAGATGTGAAACACCATGTACGATCCTTAAATCTTGGAGCCTTTAAATCGCCGAACATGTCGAAAAACTAGAGCTACCATTCAGACCGGTTCAAATATTAGTTTTATGTCACAGCTGAAGAAATCCCGGTAGTAATTAATGCCAGCAATTAGCTGCACGAAAGCAAAGACTTCTGAAGTGAGCAGATACAGACATCAGTTACTTCAAAACAAATTCCACACAGATTCCTTCTCAGTCTAGGATTACACCCAACATTTAGATAATGTTTATACTTGGCTCCAAGAGGAATGTTTCAAACTGGACTAGTTCTGTTTATAAGAAGATATTACTAGTAAGAAGATCGTGTGTCGGTGGGAGGAGAGCCTTTGGACCGTTTGCCCAAAACAGATTTGAAATGTCTTGAATAATGATGGTTTGAACTCTATAGTCTCAACACAAAGGAGAAAAAATACAATTGTGGAAAACTGTGATGGTAGTCCCCAAATTCTAACAGCAACTAGCAATTCAGCGCGATTTCCCACTTTTAATTCAGAAGTGAGTTTAATTTGAAATTAAAAGTGTTTTTTGTTTGTTTGTTTGTTTGTTTGTTTTGACAGAGGAAAGGCACTTAGGGAAAAGTCTCGGTTGAAGCAACTGGGGCCAATAAGGACCAGAAACGGATGAGATGTTCCAGCAAGAAGCAGAGGGCCTGAAAGAGAAATCTGGACCCCAGACACAGGAAGAAAGGCAGAAGACAGCCAGCATCCAGGCACTTCAAAGAAACCCACTTGGAAGCCAGGACTTGGGGAGCTAGGCAAGGATGTCTCACAAACGCAGTTCCCCAAGTGTGTTTCTGCAAAACTCCTTGAAGGTCCTGAGGGGGGCAAACAGGAGAGAACTTCCAGACAAGGAGGTAATTTGGAATTCTGGGTGTATCCCACCTGGCGAAACATAGACCTTACTCTTGAAGTGTATCTGATCACAAAGGTACCCAGTGTTGCTAACACCGAGACCAGTTGAGATGGCCTCGCTCACCCCAGGGGTCGAATGGGTTGCCCAAGGAGTTAACTGCCCGAGTAGGCAGTTAATTAAAAGGCAATGCGATTGGTGAGTGCTTATTAATGACATGGAGCCAGTGTTGGGCACAAGGACAGGGAAAGACTCGCAACAGGGTGCTTGAGGGCCAGCAGAGAAGGTCTTGGGGGAAGGGAAAGGGAAGGGCTGCAACTAGAAGGGTCCCTCGAGCAAAACCTCAGAAACTGAGCACTTGGTGTATCTGGGGCCCATGAGCTGGAGCGCAGGCAAGGCAGGGCTAGGACAAACCCCGAGATCAGGGGTTTAGTCTTCAAACCCTTCTGACTCTCACCCCGTTAATAAAAACTTAAAAACAAAACAAACAAAAAAAAACCTCTCCCCAGTGGGGCGCCTGGGTGGCTCAATCGGTTAAGTGTCCAGTTCTTGGTTTCGGCTCAGGTCATGATCTCACGGTCTGTGAGTTCGGGCCCCACGTTGGGCTCTGTGCTGACACCACAGAGCCTGCTTGGGATTCTCTCTCTCCCTCTCTCTCTCTCTTCCCCTGCCCCGATCACTCTCTCTGTCTCTCTCAAAAATAAATAAATAAACTTAAAAAAACAAAAAGCCCTCTCCCAAAGATGTAACTTTTTATTTATGAAGGCATTACAACTACCCTATTGATATATTATCTACATTGTGAGTCATACACAGAGAGTAGAATTTTTTTAATTTGAGACAAAAAAATAAAAATGAGACTTGAGTACCTTCAACTCAACCCACTGGCTTGGCTTGGGCACTCCCTTGGCCGCAAACACCACCTTTGGAGGCCCCAGAGAGAGGCAAAAAGGAGGCGCTGAAGGTTTGTGAGCAGGGGAGACCTATTTAGTTCTGTGCGTCAGGAAGGTCATTCAGGCTGAGATGAATTGGAAGACAGAGACAGAGAGAGCACAGTGGGTTCTAAGTAAGAGAACACTTCCGTATTTTCTTTGAGGGTTTACCTCTCTCCATTTGCTGACTCCTGGCTCCAGCCTCCCTGGATAAATCTGTGTCTGTGTCTCCAATCCTGGGGTGGGTGGGGCGGCCAAAGAGGGGAGGATGAGGGAGGCAAGGGTGAGGATAAAAGTCCTCGTGCGAGGGAAGCAGGAGATCCCGAGGGAACAGGATGGGGAAAGCGGTCCCTGTTTCCTTCTTAGCATCCCCACATGGCTTGCCTGGGGCTCTGCTCTTCAAGATACCCACCCTGCCCCTGCCCCTCGCCGAAAAGGCACAGCTCATCTTCTGAGCCAGGTGCCTCTGGGTGGTTTCCTTAGAATGGCGGCAAGAGCAGCTCCTGGCAAGACAAGTTACAGGCGAGATTACGGAGTCGGCACAGTATCTTTCCTGTCCCCAGGGGCTCCTTGCTGTGCCTTCATCTCAATTCCTTGGTCAAGGCTTATCCACTCTTTCCAGATGCCTGCCGCTAAAATCCTGCTCTCACATAGGGGTCTAAGGGCACTTGGGTAAGCCTTAATCTGGATTTACATAAACATATTCTTGCCCCAGCGTATTTGCCCTTTAGGCTTTATCCCTACTTGTGCCTTGTTAAAGGGATGGCAAGGATTAAATAGGAAGTCTGGGAGTCTGTGGGGCGGGGGCTCCTCTTGAGGACACCAGAGCTGAGGGATCACCTGTTCCCGGGTCCAGTTCCCACTGGTCCGTGGCTGTGCAATCACTCTTCCCAGGCAGGCCAAGGAGAACGTCCTGCCTACTCTGCATTCGTGCATGAGATGCTCGCGGGGACACTCTAGGTGTAGGACCTTGAGAAGCTCTTTGAGAAAAAACGGATTTGGGGCATTTTTCTTTTCTTTGGCTCTGTCTCACAAATGCACCGCAGGAGGTAGGTTACAGATACACTCTATGTAATACGGTATTTGTTTTTTTAGGTTTACTTTATTTTGAGAGAGAGCCAGGGAGGGGCAGAGGGGCAGAGAGAGAGAGAGAGAGAGAGAGAGAGAGAGAGAATCCCAAGCAGCCTTCCCACTGTCAGCATTGAGCCTGAGGCAGGGCTCAAAGCCACGAATCGTGAAATCAAGACCTGAGCTGAAGTCAAGAGTCAGACGCTTAACTGACTGAGCCACCCAGGCGCCCCCATGTAAGATGATATTTACAAGAGAAGGGATAGCTTTGTTGTTTAATAGTCCAAAGCTTATAATGTTGAAAGGAACATGAATTTGGGTCTCTCCCCAGCGCTTTCTTACTGTGGTAAGTGTTATCTTTTCTTTCCTCGTATTCCACCCCCAGCCCTGGTGTTATCAGCCACTGCATTTTCACACGCCCTCCCGAGTGTCTGCCTCTGAAGACACCGCCTTGTGCACTCTCTGTTGATGAAGGGCTCTTCCCGCCCCTGGGCCTTACTTACACAGTTCACAGTGAGAGGCGCGACACAGGATTCACCGTGATCCTGGTATGATCCGTATCTCCTTGGGTTTATACAGTGGGCGCAAAACTGTTCGCTATCATCTGACTTATTTCCTCATCTAGAGAAAGAGGAAATAAAGTTCACGTCTCCATAAGTTGGCATTTAGGCAAAATTAACCTCAAGTGTGTGGTTCGGGTCTCAAGAGCACACGCTTTATTTTTGTGATGGTTCGTGTTCAACTCGCTGTATATTGCGGGCCACTCAGAAATGACTTTTGGAGTCGTCTCTGTCAACATGGCGCGGGGATGATAATACCTACTACACTAGGATATAACGTGAGTGTAGCAGATGCACGTGGAAATGTAGTCCGTCCGTGAGTACTGTTACTACTAGTAAGTATGCTTACATATACATGGTACTTAGTACTCTATTAACTATGATGTTTTATAAGGTCGGAACCATAATGATAATAGGGATATATTAGCATGCTCCGTCAGGGAATCCCAAAAGCCACCCCAAAGAAATATAAAAGTTACTGGTGTATTTAATGCACTACTTATATCAAAAAATTTGAATAAAGAACAGGCTCAACATAAAGCAAAAATGCCTCTTTGCCCCATTTGTCCTGTAACAAACAACAACTCGGGTTTACAAACGTCCTTCTGCGATTCTGGGGAACAGGAGGGCTTGCAATCATTAGTGAGCAAAACCGGTAAATTGAAGTAAGTGTCCAATTCCCATTTCTAAATTGTTCAGTGGGGCAGCAGGGTATGGACTGTGATCAAAACACTTGCTTTCTGGTTTCTTCTTGTCCCTGGTAGATACGGTGGGGGCTGAGTAAGGGCCCCTGTAGGTGTCCGTGTCCTAATTCCTAGAACCTGTGAATCTTGTCTTCCAGAGCAAGAGGGACTTTGCAGATGTGATTACATTAAGGATCTTGGGATGGGGAGACCCTGGATTATCTGGGTGAGCCCAATGTAATCACAAGGGTCCTTCTAAGAGGAAACCGGAGGAGACAGAGGAGAAAAAGGCAATGTGGCAACAGAAACAGAGATCGGAGCGATATGGCTGGAAGCCAAGGAATGCCAGCAAACTCTAGAAGCTGCAAGAGACGAGAAACGGATTCTCCCCTGGAGCCTCCCCAAGGATGGAGCCCTGTCAACACCTTGACTTTAGCACAGTCAGCCTGCTTTTGGACTTTGACCTCCGGAAATGTAAGAGAATACTTTCTTCTATTTTAAGTCACTGAGTTTGTGGAAATTTGTTAGGTAGTCATAGGAAACTAATATAGAGAATATAAGGTAATTACAAAGCACCCATATCAAACCACCCTTTGGACTAAACACACACACTAGGGGTGCCCGGGTGGCTGTCGGTTGAGCATCTGACTTGGGCTCAGCTCAGGATCTCGTGATGCGTGAGTTCAAGCCCCGCGTCGGTCTCTGTGCTGACAGCTCAGAGCCTGGAGCCTGCTTCGGATTCTGTGTTTCCCTCTCTCTCTGCCTTTCCCCCACTCACACTCTGCCTCTCTCTCTCTCTCTCAAAAATAAACGTTAAAAAAAGTTTTTTTTTTTTAAACACGGTAGCCACTCTATTTACAGCCCTGCAGTGTTTGCTAATTGTTTCCTGTGTCTTACTACTCTCACTAGACTGGATCGTAAGGAAGCTCTTGGGGTAACTCTATCCCAACCTCCATTACTGGCTTTCTGAAATACCAAGCTCAAAACTGTCCAGAGTAGTCATGCTGCACTGGGTCCAGCCCAGCGTAAATGAGGCATCTGGACATGTCTCATGAATTCCGAGGGGGGCCTGTATCCAGGTGGTGATTTGCATGTGTGGACCTGTCGAGGAAAAAAGAAGGAAGCGTGAAGACGGTGTGTGAAGGCCTGGGGCAGGGCCGAGTGGAGGGACAGGATGGCACTTGTCTCTTCTCAGCCCAGACTAATTAATGCCACGGGCTGAGTCCTGTGGAGCCGCAGGCAGAGGCTGCATGGGCAGCTCTCAAGAACCCTGAGATGTGGGGCACGAGTGGCCCCTATCTGGGTGGCGACGTGTGACACCGGGCTGGGGACAGAGTCGTTCCCCCCACTTGCACCCTGAGAGCAGGACAGCTCTGGTGTGATGAGGAAGGAGGGACAAGCAGCACCATTTGGCCTTCCCTTGGGATAGATGGGAGTCCCCCTGGTCACTCCTCTTTGGGCAGTGGATCAGTGGGGAACCCCATGGCTAAGGCAAGGGACAGTCCCCATCCAGTGGTGGTTGGGGACAGAATCAAGTGAAGGGATCATTTCTGAGCATATGTAAGACATTCCTGGGGGCTCTATTGTGTAGACACAGAGGTAGGAAGGAGGCAAGGCTTTGTATCAGGGAGGTGGAAACACAAATCGGCAAAATGCAAGCTATTAATGTGCATTTGAACTTATTTGTGCCCAGTGGTTGGTGAAGCCAGGACTCCTTCAAGGATCAGTTGATTACTGCTTTTAGATTAAATGTATTCAATAATGGAAATGGACCTGAGAGCCAACTTGAACAAACGAAAGCATTTTGTGTTTTGAAAGCATTGAGCTCAACTGGGTGTTGATTTCACCCATCGTTTGCTAATTGGATCCCGGACCCCTTGGTGTCGGTGTGCTGTGTAAGTCAGGTTTCTGATGTGGCAAAAACCTGGTCTTTTTGTTGACTGTGGTTTTCCCAGTCCTTAGCACAGTGCCTGATGCATAGAGGCACTCCATAAATATTCATACTATCCCTACATTATAAATCCCTACATTAGCTAAGTCAGAGATGCGTGTTACTGACCCTTTACCTCCACTTTTACCTTCCACCGCCTGGAATTGTGCAGTGTTATCATGTTACCAAAATCAGCAAGCAAAATGCATCCTCTCTAGCAGGGATTTCGGTGTTTGGCCTAGCCATGACAAAGGAAGCATACTGAGATTTTGTGTATGGGCAAGAGGATGGGAAATTCGAACCCAACATCCTAAGCCTTGCCTGTGAGTCCCCCCTGAAAGCCACTGAATGACATCTGGCAAAAGCCCCGTGAGGCATCCCCATCCTCCGTGGCTTTACCGATCAGCACCGTGTAGGCTTGCAGTTGCCTAGGAATCTTCTCGTAAATCTGATGGAGACACAGGGTGAAACACACTCGCCTGGAACGATGACCACGAGCCCCAAGTCAGGCTCCCAGATCACTGTCCTTCCACTTCACCCTACGCATCCATCCAGGGCTCACAGGAAGAATGAGCAGAGTTGGTAAATACTGATCTCACAGACAGTGGTGAGCATTAGAAGGCATCACCCTAATTGCTGTCCGTTGAGGGATTATGATAGCCCCCACTACAGACTCCCCCAAGAGCTAACCTTCAAGCGTCCAGTTTTGTAAAACTAACATGGAACCGCTTTGCTCAAATTACGAGTGTGAGGTTGCCAAGGAAAAATGAGTCAGAGTAATCCCTTTCTAAGAGATGAGAAGAAAAAAAAAAAAGCCTGCAAAGCTTTAATATTTTAATTACCTACTTCCAGAACAATAAAAAAGGGACTAATATCTTCCACGCAGTGAGGTGCATTATGACGGTTTCATAAAGTAGCTTGAGCTATTTCCCCAGGACAGAAGACTTACGCTTTTTCCTTTCATCTGTATTCAACCATTCCAACGATATTCAATCTTAGAAGCGTTAAGAATTAAATTTTCCTTTAGGCTTTTAGTTCCAAATATCGGAACCATAAGCAAGTTAAACCTTGCCGCTTTCATGAAAGACTTGTAAGGGTCTTTAAATGCCTCCTGGGAACAATGACTAAAGGTAATGTCAGATCCTGGAGCAGAAATAGGACATTAGGTAAAATCTAAGGAAATCCGCATAAAATGTGGACATTAGTTAACAATAATAATGTATCGATATCGGTTCATTGATTGTGACAAGTGCATGTCCCGTTCTGATGTAAGATGTAATAACAGGGGACACTGGGTAGGGGCATATGTGAAGTCTCTGTGCTATCTTCACAATTTTTCTGAGTCTAAAACTATTCTAAAATAAAAAAGGTTTTTGTTTTTGTTTTTTGTTTTTGGAGAAGAATGCCTCCTGATTTCATTGACGACTCCTTGAGGATTATTATTTTTGTGATAACAGCAGAGCTCCAGTGGGTCATCTGAGCATCACAATTTGGGCTAAACTGAGAACCCCTGAAATGGTGTCTAGGTGTGACTCCAGATGAATTCTTTAGCCTTCCAGCTGCGAGAAGATTCTCGCTTTCTTAACGGTCCTGGAAGCCAGGCAATTCAGAGATGCAAGTGGGAAGTGATCCTTTCATGGAAAATGGATCAAAACCGGAAGGGAGAGGCATCAGGAAATATTGTGGGAAGAAGTCCTGAAGGAACGTGTGTGTGTGTGTGTGTGTGTGTGTGTGTGATACTTCCCTCACGCGGCTTATGTTGTTCCCTGTGTCTAGGAGAGTTCTGTATTTCTCAACTGCTGAGAAACCAGCCTCATCTCTTAAACTGTCCTTGGATCCCACCTCTTTCATGAAACTTTAGTAGCTAGGGCTATGGATGGTGGTACTTGCCTGCCTCCAACCTGTTTCTCTCTCTCTCTCTCTTTTTTATTAGAGAGAGAGAGCGCGTGCACGCATGCGAGTGGGGGAGGGGCATCAAGAAAGGAAGAGAGAATCTTAAGCACACTCCATGCTCAGCATGGAGTCCTACACAGGGCTCTATCTCACAGCCGTGAGATCGTGACCTGAGCTGAAATCAAGAGTCGGACGCTCAAACGACTGAGTCACCCAGACGCCCCTCAAACCTGTTTCTCTTATAGGGCTACACCAGTCTACCATATAAAAGAAACTAAAAACAAGCTTTTTATGAGCAAATCTGTAATCATACAGAGAGACTGTGCATGTTTTTGTTAGGTTTTTGAGCCACTCCCATCAGGCTTTTGTTAATATCACTCCATTCAAACCGTTCTCATCAGCTTCCCAGTGACTCCTCCCTCCAGCGTGCCAAATCCAATGGTCAGTTGCCTGGTTTCATCTTGCTTGACTTCTTACCAGTATTTGACACGGTTGCCTATTCTTTCCTTCTTGAGCAAAGAACTATCTGTTCTTCCCTGACACCCCATTCTCCAGCTTCTCTCGCTACCAATGGCTGCTCCTTCCCACTCTCTTTGGCTGGCGTCCCCTCTTCCTCCTTGTTATTGTTGCCTGCCCCTGGCTCGGTGCTTGGCTCTCTTCTCTGTGTATATCCACCGCTTTGCTTGCTAACCTATGGACTTAAATATTATCTATATGCTGATGATTAACCTGCTTCCAGACTCTTCCCTGAACTCCATGCTCATATATCCAGCACCTTGAAAACTCCACCTGAATATCCAAGACACCTCAAACGTAACTTGCCGGATACACGACTCTTGATTCCCGCGAGAGTTAAGACTGCTGGGTAGAGAAGACATTTTACCGTATCAACGTTTTTCGGCATCAACACTTACCGCTCCACAGCCTTGGGTTCCCATGACTAAACCAGCTAAATACAGAAAATGGTCATCCATGACGGACAACGTACTTCCCAATAAGAAATGTGGGAGATATGTGGTGTCAAAAGTTCATTGAAACTGGGAACCATACATATGTTCAATTGATTAATAGCAACGTTCAATGACTGCTGCTTTCATGCCAGGTACTGTTCAAAGTACTTTTATGTATTTTATATCATTTAATCCTTAGTAAAATCATAGTAAAAGTAGACATGATGGCCCCATTTTCGTATCAGAAGATGGAGACACATAGAGGCTAAATAGCTTACTCAAAAGGTCACAGAGCTGGTAAGAAAAAGTTAAAATTTGAACCCAGACAGCCAAACATGTTCTAGAGAATTGTGGTGGAAATTGCAGTGTTATTTCCCATCCTAGGGTCACGTTTCTATACAACTGCCTCATATTCTATCACTAGACTCTGTGCCCTTTAACATAAAGCGTGTATAGGAACCTCATGCTAGGGGAATAGGAAGCAAAATGAATGAAGTGAGTTCCAGTAGGCATAAGCATTTCAGAAACACTTTTTTATTTTTTATTATTTTTTTCACTCATATGTGGAACTTGAGAAACTTAACAGAAGACCATGGGGGAAGGGAAGAGGAAAAAATAGTTTCAGACAGAGAGGAAGGCAAACCATAAGAGACCCTTAAATACAGAGACCAAACTGAGGGCTGATGGGGGGAGGGCGAGGGAGAGGGGGAAATGGGTGATGGGCACTGAGGAGGGCACTTGTTGGGATGAGCACCGGGTGTTGTACGTAAGTGATGAATCACGGGAATCTGCCCCCGAAACCAAGAGCACACTGTATATGCTGTATGTCAGCCAACTTGACGATAAATTATATTAAAAAAAAAAAGAAACACTTTTTGAAAAGAACATTTATAAATTAGCTTTAAAAATAAGGACATTAGTTGAGTGCTTCTTCTGCATATGGGGGGCAGGCTACCTCAGAGAGCGAGCCAATGGGAAGTCTTAACTAAAATATGTAGCTACTGTACCTCTCCTTGACACAGAACCTTCTGAGAACTAGTGAACCCAATGACTGCAAACCCCTTTCCATCTAATGACTTGGTCTATGCCCGGCTAATCCGATCACTGGGGTTCAGCCCCCACCCAGCTTGGCACATAGGCCCATGTCTGTGCCCTTGATCGTACACTCACGGAGCCATGTGGTTTGTCTGTTACTGGACACTGAATTAAAAAGTTGATAGTACTCCCCTGCTCATACTCGGTCTCTCTCTCAAAAATAAATACACATAAAAAATTCTTTTAGAAAGTTGATAGTATAACGGCATTAAGCAATAAAAAATACTAGTATGGAAAAAGAAAATTGGGAAGTCTAAGTCAGCTGTTGAAAAGCACTCATTTCCATAGATACTTTATTAAAACTGTTATGTTCAGAAATGCCCAATTTCTGTAAAAAAAAAAATTTAATGAGAATCTTTTTTTTTGTTCACACATACTGCATTATTTGGTCTAAAAATAAAGGTTAAAAATTTCCCAAAGATCACTGTTTTCATTAAAGATTTTTTTTCAAACAAATGAGGCCTGATAATTTTGGTAGTTTTTAAAGACAGGTTTTTATATATATTATGCAAAATTTCCTCTTCTCAGTATACACCAACACTTTTATTACTAAAAAAAAAAAAAAAACCTGCCCCAAACATGTTTGTTAAAGAATGAACTATATGAACGAGAACTGTGTAAGAATTACCGGTTTTAGCTAAAAAAAATCCCCATCTTCTTGCCTTGTAGTACAGTATTTAATATGTTTTTTCACTTTTAAATAAAAGGACAAGTTTTTAAAAAAAAAGATAACGAGTCCACATGTTAATACTCATCTAAACTTCGTTTCTTATCTTCGTACGTTTTCCAATGAGCAGTGTAAAAAAAAAGCAATAAATGTAATGCTGTCACATAAGAACAGAGCAAAGGAACAGTATAAGCTGATGTTTTGAGAGTTCCCAGTTTTCTCTGGGATCACGATAAGGAAAAGAGCTATGATAGATCAGCTCTTTTTTTTTTAATTAAAAAAAAATTTTTTTTTTCAACGTTTATTTA